CAAAAGCAATGGTCTCCACTTAAAAAATTCTTACAGTTATAAATTTAGGATTTAAATTCATAACAGATCGTCACTGTATCGATGGTGAAAAGCAATGTGAACTAAATCTACCTATAAATTTTGGAGTTAACTTTATACTTATAATTATTGACATATAGATTTAGAAGAGATATTGAGTTTGTTATGCGTTATGTTTTTTTCTTGAACAATATCCTTTTAAGTTAAGTTCAGTGGTACGTGCAGGAGTTACTAAGTGAGAACACGAACCTTGTTTCTTGATCACGCATTTGAGGTTGCATCCTCAGAGATAGAGAGACACCGACACAGAGACAGAGACAGACACTGCTCCTCCTGGTCTCTCTGAGGTAAAGGTAGAAGCCCTATTTGTGTCATCTCTAACCAGTACACGGCATTGTTGGGACCACCCTCACAACAACCATTATGCCACACACCACAGACTAACGTACAATTATGCTGCACTCCGCTACCGCTCTTAGCCCATTCACTATCACTATTCTTCAACTTCACCTTTCTCCCTATTCAAATCCCTTCCACCCTTTATTCTCCATTATCCTACATGCCCTAATAATGCTCTTTTATTTGCCTATGCCACTCCTCAGACACCGCATTTACTACACCTAATTTCAAAACCACCCTCAAATAACAATCTAAACTTATAAACCCTCTTATAACTTAGTTGGTGTAAGTTAATTATTGTCTTTTTTCTGATGCTCAACTTTCATTGCTCCTTTCAAACATTAGAAGAAAACGCAAGGTTTTTTTTAATCATATACACTTCTCTTTTTCATATTATAATGCCATAATTTTTGGTACATGTTAACTCTGAAGTTTTTCAGACAGTGCACATTGCCTGAGTTCCTCAGTCAGCAGATCTAAATCCTAAGCTTCATTTATATACTAGTATCATTACGCTAGTTTCAAACAGTGTACATAGCCTATAATTTTATATATTTATAAAATTATTAGTTATTAATGTGTGTGTGTGTGGGTGTGTGTTTTGAGGTTCTCTATGCAATCTTTCTTAACTAACATATAAAAAAATTGAAGTGGATATCATAGTTTACGTAAATTATATTATTTTATTTTACTTTTTGTGTTTTTTCTATTTATAGGAAGAATTATGGATATGGCCAAAGCCATGTTTGACCGCAGTAGCAAGGCACCCTATATAAGAAAGAGGTCTTGCTTGCACCAGTAATTGTCACTACAAGTAGGGTGTTTGACCTGATAGTGTAAATACCCGTGAGCTGTTATAATTCGTTAGAAAGAGTTTCTGAAGCAGGGGTCCAGCAATGAAATCAAACGTGTGCATGCACTCCCAGGCAATAGTTTAGGAGTAAACCCTCATTAAAGTATTATATGTCAATCACTCTGACTTTATCAAAATTCACTTTATTTTATAAAATATCGTTGACTTTAATTTTTCTTATTTACAATGGAAAATTATGGAATGAACAAAGCTTTAGGATATGATTTGAGATTAAATAAGAATTAAAATTACTAATATTTATAATAGCAAAACAAAAACTAGGGCTTACCTCTAGTTTGCGAGCATTGGGACATGGTTGGGGATGCTAGTGTTGAATTAAAGACAATAAACCAGTGAAAATAATTTGAGGTGCAAAGCCACGTATTAAATTTAAACAGTTATAGCAAGTCCAGGAGGAGCAATTAACGTTAGTTTAATCTTTTTCAACGTAGAACAAGCACCAAGTCAAGAATAATTTTATTAACATCTACTTTTTGCCAGTAGCAAGAATAGGAATCGAATTAAAGGTGGGAGAACATGGAAATCGTCAGCATCATCCACGTCTCTGGCAAATAGGTAAAGTGCTATCAATAATTTCACCATTGGGAAGGAAAAAACCCAGAAATTCTTGTCTCCTTGGGCTCCAATTTTGTTCCCAATATATATGAGGGTTTCACCTTGGGAAAGATGGAACCACCCCACATGAAAGCATCATCTTGCACCCACGTTAAGGTTTGTGTGTAACCATTCATTCAAAAATATAAAACAAAAAGGTCCACAATAATTTCGAAAGGAAAAGCTGAATGTAAACACCGAGTTGTAGCATCTCTGAATAGAAACCCAAGAAAGCATTCCTTTCTAAGTCAACACACAAAAAGTGGTGCATGAATGAATCTGCCTGTATAATACTGAGATAGAATACACTTGTGCTAAAAGCACCCAATGTTCAGTTACCTGATGTTGACAAATACAACTCTAACTAGTTTTAATGATTTAGGTTAGGTTGTCAGCATGTTTAGCTGGAGCACGAAAGCGTACTTTTACACAATTCTGAGTTAACAGATGCAAGAAGAGACAGACAAACAAATTATTATGGACCTATTTTTACTTACTATTACACACACAAAAAAATTCATAAAATAATGTCTAAGACGTGCTTTTTAAATGTCAAAAAAATTAGCATTTTCCTTGAGTGTTAAAATAAATAAATAAATAAAATTAAAGAAGAAAGTATTATGAAAATATTTTTTCAAACTTTGGAATGTACTTACATAGTGATAAAAAATTACAAAACGAGCAGAACATGGAGCTTACAGACAGTTTTTTGACATATTTGATTGCAAGGAAGATGTAAGCTTTACTAGCTTTATGTAATATGGTTACTAACTATTCAGACCTCACAATTTGGATAGGACCCTGTGAATGAGATGAGCATGAGTCCCATTTACATGGGCTTCGAAGTCACAGGCATATCATGTAAGAAAGACGCCAGTAGAAAGTTCAAATGCAAAGGGGGAATCAATATTCTGCCTTTAAAAGCATGCAAATATTAATTATTTAATTAAATGGAAAAGTTACCTACTATATCTTGGATCGAATGCTTAAACAATGCTAATCGATTGCTTCTATATTGAAAAACAATGTTTTCTGACAGCAAAGAAATTCTCAACGTTATCGTCTGAATTTATATAAGTGTTGTATACCTAACCAGTCACCATAAAATCATAGTGCATGCACGATAATATCCGAACGGATAGATTCTTTTATTAGATCACATACTTCTGCATACAGACATTGAAGCAATCATTCTCCAATATAATATCCAATATATAATATGTTCTGACATCATCAGGCTGGTGAACCTCGACCAATCAATTAGGATTTATTCAAATCAAGACAACCTGCTCTTTTGAGAGACCTTATTTTATTTACCAGCTTATATCAATGGAATTGTAGATCTAATGCAGAGAACTCAGATATATAGCATTATTTTTAAACTTTTAAATTTTAGACCTACAAACACCAAAATGCAGCATGATGTGTCAAATCCACGAAATGAAAGTCATATATGATGTAGATAACTAGTCAAATCATAACAGAAACTTCTAATAGATCAACTGGGGCAAATTAGTAGTATACACAATTATTTACGCCAGCTGGGCCTGTAACTTGTTTTCATGCCTTTCTTCCCCTCCATTAGAAATGGGAAGAGACAAATTCTAGGAGTGAAAAAAAAAATATATATATATATATATATATATATATATATTATAAAATCATTTCGCCCGTCATTTTTCCATCATATTAATTACGAAAGTCAATCCCTAAAATCTGCATGATCCTTATAAAAAATAAGTTGTATCATGAATTTTCTATAACACTTTCTGAAACATTATTATTTTTTTCTTTTGTTACATCACTTATTAAAGTATACAGCCTCTCTCTTCAGTTTTTATCTGATGGTTATAAAAATTTATTGTAGAACAATAATTGCTCAAATATTCACAGATAAAGGACAATGTATGGTTCACAATATTTCTTATAATTAGCTTTGACTTTGGTACCTGTTGTTAGCTATACATTATGTAAATGGTTTTATAGAATGTGGATATAATATGTATATATATATATATATATGTGTGTGTGTGTGTGTGTGTGTGTGTGAGAGAGAGAGAGAGAGAGAGAGAGAGAGAGACCATGTATTTCATATAACCAAATCAGTTTATGGGCAACTGATCAAACAACAACTGGGGTTGCCATTCATGAGGAGGTGAGAGCATGCTGCATTGATCAGAAAGAAGGTCAAGGAAAGTTCTGAAAGCGTAGCCTTTATATTTGTTTTACTTCTTTTAGTTTTCCTTTTATCAACAATATACTCTAGTATGTTATGCCATATGCTGTATTCCTTACACATAAAATGCAGTGTTCCCCTATATACGTATAGTTTTCCTGCATGTGCATTAAATATGAGCACATTGATAAGTAATATTACCCATTTTATATTCAACGTCACGTCTATGCAAAGTTAGATAATGGAATTACAGTATCATCACATGGGAAGAGGGAAAGAGAGAGAGATCTTTCACCTTTAAAACTGGAATATGCTCGTGCATGGTTGGACCCGCCCCATCCAAAATATGAAGGAACTAAACAAGTTTTCTTCGAGGGTTAGTCGTCCAATCCAAATAAAGATCAAAACTGTGTTTCTAGTTCAATTAACCAGATAGCAGACGGATAAACAGGGAAAAAAGCAGTTTCCAATTTCAAAACCAACCGAAAACAAAGTGTGATGTAATTCAGCACGAAAGAGGGGATCGAAAAAATTTTAAAAAATAAAATATATTATAGTATTGCAACTGATCAACCAAAGAAGACACTCTACACCAAACTACAACATTAGAACCATATGTGTCCTTATATCGTACGAAGCTAAGAAACAAATAACTTTAGCTGATTTTCAACAAGAAGAAGAAGAATGATCTATTTTTGAACTAACCATTGATAATTTGCACACAAAAAATAAACATCCATATATATAAATATATATTTTCTTTCTCTTGTTCTCTCATGTCTTTTCTTTCTCTCTCTCTCTCACTTCAATATGCGTGTCAAATTTACCGCTAGGCCTCATTCTGAAGAACAATAACATCAAATGATAGAAAACACAAAGTTGGTGAAAGAGAACTATGAGGGATACAATCCGCATAATCCCCATATTGTTTTTCCTTTATCAAGATCTTGTGTGAGGGAAGAATTGCGTACCGCTGCCACCCATGAAAGTGTTGACTGGAGCTGAATACATGGAGGAAGGATCAACAAGTGCCCCAGAAGAAGAGACAACGCCAGAAGCAGTGAGGTTCAAGGGCTGAGCTCCAACAACACCAGAGGTCTCCCCAGCCATGTAATTATTACTATTATTACTGTTGTTATTATTGCTATTCTCAGGACCATAGTCATAAAGGATTCCTTTGAACACATGTCCCCCAATGTTCACAGCCGTTTGATACGCATACTTGTCATCAGCATCCTCCACGCAGCTAACCCTCACGCACCTGAACTCAGCAGGAGAACTCACCACAGAAGGAAAATGCCCTTCTTCTAACCCTTCTTTTTTTCCAACACATACAGAAAAACAAAAGAAACAACATTAGGCATGTAGCTATATGATCGATCGTTTGAGAGAAAGTAACAGACAGAAACAAAAAAAGAAAAAAAAGGGTCTTTTTACTGAAAAACTAGAACCTAATTATCAACAAAGAAAGAAAGTGGAGGAGGCGACTGGAAGTGCGTGGAAGTGAGAGAGAGAATGTGCTAAGAAAGAGGAGGAAAAACAGTTTCTTGCTGTCAATCTATTCATTCGTCAGGGCTACTACATAACAGTGTTTTCGGAAAGGGAAAGGGCTAAAGAAAAAAAAAAAAAAGGAGAAAAAAAAAAGAGAAGAAAAGCTGATATATGAAAATGGTGGATTTTGGTTCACACGCAATCGATACGGTTCCATTGTTTGCAGGTATACTTCCAAAACTTTCTCACCAGTCCCTCGATATCTTTTCAGAGAATTTCCCTGGCGAAAGATTCTCTTCTTTTCTTTTCCTTTCCTTTATTTCCCCACTCTCATTCATCACTCAATCACAGAAACTGCGAGTCCTTCTGTGTGCATCACTGTGAACAAACAAAGACAAAAGAAGAGGCACTGCGAGTGGATTAGTTGGTGGGTGAGGAAGTGAGTGTGCTATGTACCTGACGAGGGCAAACGAGTGCAAGCGGTTGGGTCTCTTGGCCGTTTGGAAAGGTCTCTCTGTTGTTGCTGTTGTTGCTCTTGCAACGCCGCTAGCTGTTGCTGACGCTCGCGGCGTTTGGAAGCGGGAACCCAAGTACTTTTGACATGGGTTTGGCACTCGTAGCCTCTGCTCTTGCAGCACGTTCTGCACCGCATGTGAGGGCAATCTTTTTTGGCTTGGTTTCCGCAGTCCTGGCAGCTTATTCCGCCCTCTGCCGCACGCATCGCCACAAACGCCGATCTTGACGACGAGTGATCATCCGAGACGCCTCGGCTGGGCCCCACACCGGAGGAGTAAAGATCTCGCTGCTGGAGGGGGCGCGCATGCGGGGGCATCACATGCTGCTCCTGCTGCTGGTTCCATAGCTCGAACCCTCGGTAGGACGAAACGTCGTCGTTTTTGCTGTACCAGTATAGGGTCTCCGCTGCAGGAATCTCGTTGTTGGTTGTAGTGTTGTCTTGCTGGTTGTTGCTACTCCCTCGACCTCCGCCTAATGAGAACAACCCCGCCATTGTTCTGCACCTGACCCGGGCTTCAATTGTGACCCAAAATCCATATCAGAAAACTCGATCGCTGTGGGTTGTTGGATATTGAAAAGAACAAAAACAAGTAGAACAAGAAGAAGAAGAAAACAAGCATGTAAAAATAACAAAAGAGAGAGAGAGAAAGAAAAAAAAAAAAAACACGGGTTGTAATTGTAAGTTGCAAGTTGTAACTATTGGTTGAATTAATTCTCTGGGTTTTGAGCTTTGAATGAGGCGTGGGGCTGAGAATTGGGATTTGGGAGTGTGAGGAGGACTAGGAGAAGAAGAAGAATAAATATAATAATAGTAATAATAACAAGAGCAACTAGAACATGTTGAATTTATGAGGAGGAAATTAGAAGAGTGCTGGTTGGATTTTGTGTGGTGTGTAGAGTCATGAATATTGTTGTCTCGGCACAAACAGAAGCGTTGGTTGAAGAAAATAATGAGAAATGGTTATAATATTTGTAAAAGAGTGTGTTGGATGTTGTGTTGTTGTTATAGTATGTGGTTAAGAGTATGGGTTAGCCGTTGTGGTTGGGGAAAGGGTAATTGAAGCTTCTTTGGTTAAGGACAGGCGTCGAACAGTGTCGGGCAGCGTTAATCGCGCTTTCAATTCTTCGGTCACTCTCTGAATTCAGCGTTTGTTTGTAATTGTGTTGTATGTATATGCGTGAATGAATGAATTGAATATATGCATTATATATTTACGCATTAATGATAATAATAATAATAATAAAGAGTATAGCACAGCTCCAACAACAGTACCACAGTTATTTACAGCTATCGCTGCACTGCAAACGCCGCCATGCCCCTCTCTTTCTCTCTGCAACCCTCTGATGCTCCTTCAATTTAATAACTCCCTCCCTCTTTCTCTCTCTTTCTGATTTTTCTGCAGAGTTTATGAGCTCTTTTTTTAGTTCTGAGCAGTTCCTCCTTTTGTGTCTGAAGCCTGTGTGTTTAACTTCGCACAATGACAAAACCACTACACCACACTGCACAGTAAGCAAGTACTCCCCTTCCCCCTCTCTCTCCTCAACAATGCAACGGAATGAATGTAATGTCATCCATCTCATCCCCACCGATGCTACCAATTTTCCATCTCCCTCCAACGGCTCAGATCTCTCCCACGTGTCACAGAAACAGCTTTCTGCGTCCCTCGTCCTTTGCACCGGAAAACCCGCTGCTTTTCGTGACACATTGCCCCTTTTGTGTCCATTAATTTATGGTTTTCGCTTCCATTAAAATAAAATTCCCTTGTCCCCTCCTTAATACATATCTTTTTTTCATGCAAAACCATCGCCCATTAAGTTAAGTATCTGGGTATAATACTTTTCATAAATACGATTTACTTTCAAACCTTAACAGTCATATGATTTAAAATATGTTTTAGCTGACTTAATCCTTGATAATGTCTTGTGTGTCACAATGAACTAATAAAACAGTGGGGTGATTAGTTATATTATATGAGGTAGAAAGACTTGGACGGGTGAAAAAGAGGCAATCAGATCGAATTTCCATGAATATAATCATGTGGCCTCAAACAAATATGCGTTCACACAGGGGAACACAGCGCCACCAAATTGTCATTGTACCTTTTTCTCTTCTTTTTTTCAAATTTCTCATTTCTTTATGCAACCGTTACTTACAGTGATTTTTCTGTAACTACACCCTCATAAGATATCATGGGAGCCCATTCAAAATTAAAATAATATTATTTTATTTTAGAGGATAAAAAGAAAAAAATGTGGAGAGGAAGGATAGAAGAAAACGAGTTGTGGTGTGGTTAAGGAAATATGTAAGAAAAAGAGAAAAAGAGAAACAGAGAATGAAGGAGACAAAAATTTTCATACTGCAATGAAGTAACATTAACTATAATTCATTAAATTATGGATATTAAAAAATTGTAATCATAATAAATAATAATTAAAAAAATGTCAAAAGTAATATTACTTATTTCTTTCTAATCTAATCAGGTAACATCTCTTTCTTCTTCTTCTTTTCTTTTTCTTCTCAATTTCTTTCACATTTATCAAATGGATCAGTATAAAATGTTTTATATCAACTTCTACAATATGTACGTTGTTGTTCTTAAAAGAACATTAAAAAATTATTAATATCTTTATTATTTTAATATTCTTCATTAAAATACTCTTAAATAATTTATTAATAAATATAACTAAAAGGATAAAAATATAATTAATAAAAGAGTAATTAATATAATCTTACATTTTATAAATGCTATATATTTATAAACAAACTTTTATGATAATATTTTGAGATTGAAAGAGTATTTTCATATATGTATTCTTAGAGTTAATGATAGAAATCTATCTGCTTATAAAACTAAATGTGATATTATTTAAATAAAAAAATTAGTTTTATCTCCATGATAATGATTAATAAAATTAAAATAATAATGATTCTAAATTCTTCTTTAGCATTTTTTTCATTTAGTAATAAATTTTAAAATATTAAATATTTTTTAAATATTAAATGCATTTATCTTTCAATTAATACTTTTTAAATAATACAAAAGATTTTAATTACTTAAAAAAAATAGATGTTAAATATTTTTTAACATTTTTCACTACAATAAATACTTAGTTTCTCAATAAAGTATTTTTATTGTCTCTTTAAACACTAGATGCCCTATTTATTCCAGGGAAGGAAAGTCCACTTAGGAGACATTAAATCACCCTGCATGACTTATTGAAGATCAAAGTAAACTTATTAGACAAAAAAAAAAAGATTATTTTTTTAATAAAAAATATAAACATGTTAAGCTTTAAACATTAAAAAAAAAAGTATTTTGAGATTGATCAATTGAACTATTTATTCATTTACAATTTTCATTAACATATGTTTTAAAAATTTATTTATAATTTCACCTTTTAATAGCCTTTTAAAAAACATAGGCTTACTAAGCCATGCATTCAGAGGAATGTTGGCCTACTTAGGGATATAGGCTACTTAGTCTATTTATAAATGTTATCATATAATAGGCATTTAAAAATATTTTTGGGTCAAATTTTGGAAAATCATACATATAAAGTAAATAAGGTAGACCTGCATGCGTTTAATATTTAAAAAAGTAAACCTATTTAAGAAATAATATAGTTTGGCATCATTTCCCTCATAAATTAAAGTTTTGAATTTATCATTAAAAAATAATATTTAGCATGAATAATTTGAAACTTGATTGCTTTGTTAGGAATAAAATTGTCTCACCTTATAATTTTGAAGAAAAAAAATTAACATAAGGTGATGATTCAATAAACTTAAAGGGAAACAAATTATTAAGACAACATCAAAGAAAAAATGAAAAATGGAAAAAATATGGTAAGTGTCTCATTGGTTATCAAGCATTTAAGAAACACCATCTAAAAGGTACACTATCCAAGGACTATCTAGAAGACAAAAAACTTGGTAGAGTATTTCTACTTACTCATGGTTCAAGTCAACTCACCTGCAAAACAATTTCATCAAGTTCTGTGTACATCGCTGAAAAGCAGTTGTGGCAAAAGAACTCCCACTATAACATGTTCTGATATAGGTTAACAGTTTTTCAGCATGAATATGTGATGTAATTTCAATCTATATTAAATACAATTTGAGTGATTGCAGCAAACAGACATTAACTTTTCTCAAGAGTTTGTAATGGCAAAGAAAGAAAAGTAAATGTTACCACATACACAAACTGCATTCACTTCTCTTTCTTAACCCGCCGCCCACATTCAATTTCTTCTTTTACTATTTCTACAGCCTTAACCATTGTTCTTTGAGAAATCCATTTATTAGCCATTATTGTAGCTCACCAAAAGACCACCAAAAATAGCATTTATGTTTTATAGTTTGCAAGTATTCTGTAGAATCTCAAGTACATAGAACTTTGAGTTTGAAAATATACTATACAATAATACCTCAGTTTACAAGCTTGTATGTGGTGTATTTAAACCAGTGATGAAACATTTTTCAACCACTAAACATAGTCTTAATCTGTTGATGTAATAAAATTAATAAAAATAGTTTCCCTTTATCTCTTATCACCATTGAGGGTTTCAATTGTGATTATACATCAAGTTTTTTCTTAAGAGTGCGTATGGAAATAAAAAAATAAAAAAATAACTATTAGACTTGTTTAAATTTCTGTTTCTATATATTTCTTTTCTGTGCACTTCATTTTTCTCTACGAAAGTTAGAGAAATGTACTCCTAAGTTTTCATTTAAACCATAATCTAAAAACTGATTATTGATTTCAACTAGTTAAGGGTTTTAGCTAGTTGTAATGTGTTGTCTTATATACCTTTCATGTAATATCGTAATCTTTTAGGCTAAGTCAAATAATAATTTTGCTATGTTGGTTAAAAAGGTAAACAAAAGGAAAGTTCCCTCTGCAGCAAAATGGTGGTTTGATCTGCTGCTCCTAACACAGCATAAGATGAACATGGTTGGCCTGGTAAATCGCAGCATGTTTCAGGCAAGCCATCTCAATGCAAGTTTTGGTAGTGGTTTAGATGAAAGAAATATTTTTTTTTTTTTTTTTTGAAAATTACAGTCTTTAATTTTCACTTGAGAGAGGATAAATTTGGTTAGTGAGTAATAGTGATGAGGCGATAGTAGTGGTAGGCTTAGGGTTAACAAAGGAGCAGTGGCATATTACTATTGGTGGTAGTTAAGGAGTGGTTGAAGGCATGGAAAAGGGTTATTTTGTGGTATTTGTGGGGTTGATGGTGGAAGACAAATTGAAGGCATGGCGTTTGGGTAGTGTCAACTCAAGAAAACCAGTGGCTGTATAGGCTGAGTGCATTACGAATAGATTTTGGTGGGTTAGGTTAGGTGAATGGAGGAAGTATAGGTTGTGGAGAAAGATTTGCAGAACAGAAACTATGTTGGAGGTTGCATGCTGAATTCCGTACGAGGTCATGTTCCTTTCTGGAGATGATATTCATCGGGATGTACAAGAAGATGGATTGAACTACAATTTTCAACCTTGTAAACCCTCAACTGCAAATATATTATGTCAGTACCCAATGCAATGGTTGGACTACTGGTCTATGCCTACAATGCACCAAGTAGATTCAACGGTGTTAAGTACCAAAAGTTAAATTAAAAACATAATATTTATAACTAATAAAATTTTAAAATTAAACTTAAAAAAAAAACTCAATTATTTTAAAACTCAAAATTAATAATAATTTATAAGATATTCTCTTTCAACACAATATCGTAATAAGATTACTTAACTTCGTATAGTCAATACCTCTTAAAGTTAAAGTCCAAACACCTATAAAACTATAAAGTTTGGAAAGTAAACTACTCTATATTTTGTTTCATGTTCTTGTTCCTTCTACAAACCTTTTGTTTTTCCATCTTATTTAAAACATTCTTTTGGTATTATTTTTCATTTTGTTTTGTCTGACCAACCTCCTTCCCTCTCAAATATTCTTATTCTATTTCTTTTACTTTGTTTCAACTAATTCCACTTTCATCATTTTTTTTTTTTCAATATCTCTTTTCTTCCATACTTTGCTGAACCAATCTTCATCCATGGCAACAACAGCTTGAGTCTTGCCTAGGGTATAACAGTTTGGAAGTGAGGAGAGGAAAGGGTAGGAAAAATGAAAGAGAAAAACAAAGTGATGGAAAATTGGAGGTAGTCACCATTCCCACCAAAGAAAAGTGGGGAGGATCTACAAAGAGTGTTGTATTAGAATGAACTAATGTTTTTAAATCAATAAAGAAGCACATTTATAATATTATATTGTTAGTAATAATTAACAAGGAAATTTTAAATTTAGAAAAATAAAAAATAATTATTTGTTATTAGAAATAATAAAAAAATCCTAAAATTTAATAATAAAGGATAATATAGTATATCATCTACCAATTGATTAGGATGTATTTATGATATCTGTGAGTTTTGATGGGTAAATGGTTGGAAAGTTAAAATCATCTATTGCAATGACATAGCCAACTATTAGTAGGCAACTTAAAGGTCAAACTTTTTGGCATGCAAGAAACTTAGCAATAATTTATTAATGATAAGCAAAGTTGTCAACAATGTACTAATTTTGTGAGACAGTTTGTTGGTTACTTTTATGATGGCTTAGTTACTAATATTTGGTTTTAAAAACTATTAAAACAATAAGTTGTGATTTCATAAAGGAGGCTAAATATTTTTTAGTGTTAGTTTCTTTTTCTTTTTTTTCTTGTAAAAAGGTGACAGCATTTGGAGGATACAACGGATTTATTTCTTGTCATTTATATTCTTTAATTGGCATTTATGAAATGTTTTCCACTCTCATGACATTATTTGGGTATATGATGAAACAAAGGATAATTTGGATTTTGGTTATTTTTTTCACTTCTGTTATCATTTATGACAAAAAGTTTGAAAAAAAAAATCAAAACTTATTAGTTACAAGGTAAATTTGAATTGAAGTTGAAAATATTTACTATAATAACTTTTTTTTTCTCTAAGTCGAAATTGTTCTATTTTAATTTTAAATTTATGTAAAAGTTTAATTTTCATTACATGACTGTATCACACCATCAGAACTGAAATCATGAGACCGATAATGTTGCGTAAAATAATAAAATTGAAATATTAGAATTTAAAAACAAATTTCATAATAATATATAATATAATATTTAACCCTCCAACAATGTTGATTTGATTCAGTAACGAAAACTTATGAAAAGTGTCTCCAAATAAAGAAAACAATTTAAATTTATTATATATTAATAATAATTTATTGAGTAAATTTATGTCAGTTTAATTTATTTTTTTTACACAAATAAAAAGAATTCAACTAAAAACAGGAAGTTATGTATATAAGTAATTCATAAATGTGACTTTTTTTTATCTTTACTTTTTAACCATATCAACTAACTTAGAATGGAAATATTAATGTTAAACCAATTAAATTGATCTTATTCTTTTGATAACATATATCTCTTGTACTATGTAAAAGACAGAAAAAAAAAGATATTGTTTTCTTATACAGAGTAGTGTAAAAAAATAAGTTATTTGTTATCAATACTTTTATTTATTACTTTAAATATTATCTTTTTATTAATAATTGAGCGTAGATATCATATAATTAAGTATTAATATCAAAACACATAATTTATATTCTATTTATACACAATTCAGCATGAAAATGATCTCTCTCGTACATTTCTTTTCCCTATTTTCTTCACATGTTTCCTCAAACAAACATTATCTGTCTTCTGTTTCTTCTGACATTTATCATTTTCTCATTCCATTATTTAAATAAACCAACTCTTATTTAAGAAGAGATTATAATCATTATAAATATTTTGTAGAGATACTCATAATTTCAATAAAAACATGGATAAAATATCTTTGGTTATCACCAGCAACATCTAATAATAAACAAGTGGCATCTTTAATGAGTTGAGAATAATACTTACAAATTTTGTATAGATGCAAAATTATATCCGCATTTACATAAATTTCATTGGTTGATGAACATAATGAGATAACGATAAGTTTTGTGAGATAAAAATAATAGTAAAGAGTGATAAAGTTGCATAAAAAGGTGGCAGAAAACTGCGACACCGGCTCAATAAGCGTATGACAGTAATTCCCATTGGCACGGTTTATAGTAGCTTACAGTAGTGGTTGCCTGCACCTACTTGGCTACTTCACCAACATTTCTTACTGTCATATCTCGCTGTCCAAGGTTTTCTTTCTTAGGTTTGTAATTCCTTTTCTCCTTAAATATAAACTTTGTAATTAAAATTAATTTATAAATAAGTAGAATATTGATTAATTACAATATGTATAATCATCGTATTATCAAATACTAATAATACCTTTCAAAGTTCGTTCAAGTAGTATCACAATTTTTATACATATATTACTTTTATTGAAAAAATAAATTAATATTAAAATTCAAACATGAATAATTTATTAAAAAATCATTAATCAATTTAAAATTTTTTAAAACGTTTTTTTGGTTAAAGAGAAAAAAAGCAAATGGATTTTAAAAAATTATAGAAAAAAATTCTTTACTTATTCAACTAGATATTATAGATATGATTACTATTTATATAACGAGTACTTAATCACTAAAACATTTTCAGTTTTCTTTACCATTACATAAAAAATAATTAGTATTTAATTTAAAAAAAAACTTAAATTTTGAATTTTTTATTTTTTTTAAATCTCGCTTCTCTCTTTTCCTTTGAATTTTGTCTTTGTCCTTTATTTATAAATATGTTATTCATCTTTTAAATTCATATAATAAATCAAAGTTATTAAAATGGGTGGTCGTGTACATCTTAATCTAACTTTAGGTATCAACTGAACAAATTTTATATCTTAAACATGTCATAATTTTTTTCCTAATTTATCTTATGTGAAACCAACATGTCATATTAACGTACTGTATCAAACAATTAATTAAAATAATGTTTAAATAAAAATAATATATTTTTAAAATTTAAATTATATTAATAATTTTTTAAAATGTAATAATTTAATATATAAATTATAATAAAAATATATTTATTTTGTTTTAAAATAAGAATTAAAAATTTATTTTATTATTATTTATTTTTTAAGTGATTTATTGATTTAAAATAATAATTTATTTTAATTATTAAATCATTAAATAAGTGAATATAAGATACTTTCTTTAAAATAAATAACTTTTTATCAAATTATTTTATAATACATATATTTTTAATAAATAATATTATTTTTATTTTAAATATAATTTTTATTTTATAAAATAGATTAACATATAATAAGTTTTTAGGTTAGTGTAGACTAAGTCTATTTAGTTTATGTCCTAAGCGGATATAAATAGGTCTAATTTAATTTAAGTCATAAAAATTTAGTTTAATGTAACCTATTTTTTGAACTATTTTATTAAACTAAACATATTAAAACCTAGTTTTTAATTTCTTTTATGTTTTTTTTCAAAGAATCTCCTTATTCTTTTCTTACTCCCTGGTTTATTTTCTTTAACTTTTTCACTCCTAATTGTTATTCATAGTTGGATCTCAACCAGGTTTAAAAAAAAACAGGTTTAAAAAAATGAATAGAAGATTGGTAAATAATGGACAGAGAAAAAAAATGCAAACCCTTAAAAAACAAAATTAAAGTCAATGATACATAGATGAGAAATCAGTTAAAAAAAAAAAATTTAAGGATGGGAGAGAAGAAAGAAGAAGAATACGTGAATTCACGTTTTGGAGTTAGAAAAAATAAAGAGAAATAAAAGGAAATGAGAAAAGTGAAAAAAAGAAAAGACAAATTTTAAAAAGAAAATTTCAAAAATCAACCGTGAGAAAATATATTCGTTGTAGCGAATTTCCATTTGGCTGGGATTTTTGTTTTTTTAAAAAAACCTAGTTTTTAATTTATTTTTTTTTAATCTTCCTTTTCTCTTTCTCACTCCTCAGTGTTTTTCTCTCTTTTCTCCCTCTCCAAAAGCTTCTTTTATTCTTTTACGTTGAATCTCATATGTTTTTAAAAAGTGAATAGAATGTCGGTAAACAATGGAAACTTAAAAATAAAAATAAAAAAATAACTACAGAGAAATGTAAAATTATAAAAAATTCATTATAAATTTGATTTTGACATTTATATAATAACTTAATTGAATGTAAAATGATTTAAATTTGAGCAATGTTGTAACACTATTAAATTTCTATTTCTAAAACATACTTTTCTTTATACACATAAATATAAATTAGTTAAACTAAACAAATCATATAGCATACATAAATTTCAATTAAATTTTGTGACAAGATCTTAATGATTATATAAAATTTCAAATAATTTAATTTTTTTATTATGTATTATCTAATAATAAATATTATTTTATATTTTAAAATTAAGTGATATAACACATTTTTTAATATTTTCAAATTATAATTTTACATATTTAACAAGAATATGATATTCAATAGTTAAATGAATTAAATTTATATTTTATAAAAATTTATTGAAGCTTATATTTAATATATATATATATATATATATATATATATATATATATATATTCAAAACCATGCCAATAAAACAATAATAGCAAACTAATCAGAACTTTCTTTTGCTATACTTTAAATAATTTTGTTTAATCTTTTAGATTGAAAATCAAGAATCAAACTAAACTAAATTGCATTATCTATTATATTTATAATTAATTATTAATTATCAATTATAGTTTTAGTATTTTTTAAAGATAATTTATAATATTTTTGTATTTATTGAAACGTTATGATATATTTGTAAAATATTATATATTTTATTTATGAATTTGAGAAAAATTTAAAATTATAAATATAATAATAAATATATTTTAAACAAATTATATAAAATATTTAATAAAAATAAAAATCATACAAATTAATTATAGTTAAATTCTATTATTTTGTATATTTAATTTTGTTAAATATTTAGCTAAAAATTAAATTAAATTATACCACGATTATTTTTATATATATTTATTTGCCTGATTCACTATTACTACATGAAATATTTTTTTAGAACTTGTGCTTCGTCTATTAATATGGATGAGATGGAAGAAAAAAATAAGAAAAAAGAATTGACATGTGTTTCTTCTTTTGAAAGATAAAAAAAAGTTTGTTTTGTTTGCTTATTGTTTTTAAAAATAGTTTTTTATTTTTTTAATTATTAAACATGAAAATATTTGTTTAATATTATTGTTTTAGAAATTATTTTTATTTTTGTAGTTTTTAATTTTTTTTTATATTTTTTTAATTGGTATTAACATTTTCTTTCAATAACTATATTGAATAATTTATTTCTATCATTTATTTTATGATTATTTATATTATTCTTTTTGTCTAAAATAGTTTAAAAAATAAATTTAATTATTTATTTCAATTTATTTTTAAAAAGAATTTTCAAAAGTAATTTCTAAAACTAAAAAAAATTGAACAAAGTCTACGTAAGATTCTTTTTATTAAAAGATAAAGAAGTTATTCATACACGCAAATAACTTATTAATAATAATATGTAATAATTATTAATAACAATAATATGAAATAAGATATTAATAATATTAGTATAATGATAATAATAAAAACTATTATTAGTGAAAAGATAATATTAATATTAGTTATGATAACAAAAAAAATATTAATATAACAAATGGATAAATAATAATTTTAATATAAATAATAAATTATTAAATAAAATAATATTATAGTAAAAATATATTTTTATTGTTATGGTGAGGAGAAATTTGTAAGTGGAAAGTGTTATTAGGTGTCATCCTTAAAAATTAGTAAGTAAATTCATATTCTACAAGTTATTTTTATTGTTGTTGATAACTTCTCTTTATTCAATATTGTTTAGGGTATTAAAATATATATACCGTAAAAAACAACTCAAAATATTTAAGAAATAAATTAAATTAAATAATATAAACTTAAGTCATTTAATATTATTTTGGTTTGATTTATTTAATACTGATATGTTAGATTAATCCGTAGGTTTATAAGTTAGTTTATTTTATAAAAGAATAATTATTTTTTTAAATAAATTAAAATTATTTTATTTATATATATATTATAAATTAATTTGACAAGAAATTTATTTATTCTAATTGTTGGTATCAAAATAAATATCTAATAATCAGGTATTTTTAAGTTTAATAATTAAAATTAATTATTATTTTAAATTAATAAATTACTTAAAAAATAAATAATGATAATAAAGAATAAACTTTTATTTATTACATTGATATTGAATTAATCCATTTTCTTATAATTTATATATTTAATTATTATATCTTAAATAAAAATTAATTTTATTAATATAATTTAAATTTTAAAATATATTTTTATTTTTATTTAAATATTTTAAAATTTACTTTAGTGATATGATTTAGAAAAAAACTAAATGTACTGTGGATATGATTTGATGAGGTGTTGAAATTTACAAGAACTATGTATTATATACTATTACGAAATATATTTTATTTTGAAATAAATGAATGTACAGCGGAATACTAGAAGTAGGATGGTCCTGTAGAATAGAATGGACTACACAATGAAATCATTTGGTATCTATCGTATTCATATATATCATGTTGAAGACATATCAATCTCATACTACTCTATGCACACCCCTTCTCTCTTTTCACTATCATTTACTAATTAATCACATAACTTTAATTATATTGAGTTTTACTTTCATAAAGGAATCTCCACAACTCTCAACTTTGCAATGTTTGGCTGGTCAAATATAAAGTTTCAAATAAAAGAAAGAACATTTCTTACTCATTCAACATCTCACAGTTCTTGTCTTTAAAGACAATTTAATAATTCTTTTGTAAGAAAAACAAATTAGATATTGAATAAATTTTAGACACCAAATAAAATGTTACCTATGTTAAAAATCATTATACAACACACGTCAATCCTATGTGTTCGGTGATAGAAATTGAATATAGAAAGAGAGTGGAAGTATATAATTGATAATAATGTTGTTGATTGATGCAAGTATCAGATAGAGAGAATAATAGTTTTAAATGGGGGAAAAACTTATTTTCTTATTTATTTGATGCAATATACGTTTACATATATGATCATTGTTTTGTAAACTAACTCTTTCTATCATCTTTAGAAATTATACAAATGTTCAATAAAATCAATTATAAATGTGCATTATTCTGAAAGCATAATTGACTAAAAAATTTGTGTTACATTATTAAACTAGTGCAAAAAGTCAAACAATACTTTTATATTTAATCTAATTTCTCTCATGTCCTTTTCTTCTTATGATTGTTCTGTGATTCTTATAATTAATCCAAGTTCGAAGAAGATATATAATTTACTTTTTCTATTTGTTATTATAAGTCATAAGTAAAAAAAAAGTTTATCTTTGAAATAAGATATTTTACATTTTTAATAAACATTATTTTTTTTCTTATATTTTTATTAAAGAGATGATTATTTATATTATAATATTAATAACGATTAATTATAGAAAATATTAAAAATTAATAAAATAAGTTGAATTAATTACTTTTTTTAATTTATTTAATTTTGTTTAAAGTGTATTAAAGAGGCAAGGGAATAATATTAATACAAAAAATTTATTTCAAAGATTAAATATTTTATTTAAAAATAATAAAATTGGTTATTATTTAATTAGACTCTAATTTTTAATAAATGATTAAAATCTTAATAACTAATTTTTGATAAATAACTAAAAATTTAATAGTTAATATGAAAGACTAATCTTATGATACAATAACTAATTTATAATATCTTTTAATTTAATTAATATAATAATTAAATATATTTTTATCTCTAAATTAATCAATATTTAATAATACTTTTTAATACATTGTGACGGGGTGTATTATATTAGTATCCTCTTTCTTCTTTTGAAAAAGAAGCAAGAAGTCGTAAAATGAATCTTCACGAGATTAATAAGCTTTTTTCTTTTATATAATATTTCTCAATCAATCAATCAAGATTCCAATCATTATTACCCTCATCCTTTATTATCGAATAGGTTGTTAGGTAACTTTTTGACTCAATTATTTTACCACATGATAATTCGTACATGGATGATATAAAATGTTTTAAACTTATTATTAATAAATTTTGTTATGTATGGTAAATTTATTAATTTTATGAAAATTATTTAAAAATTGATAATGATAACAAGAACAATTTAAATCAATTAATATTATACTTTTTTTTTTTATAATAATGATGTGTATTCATAAACTTTTCTCCGTTTTAAAAAGTGTTTTAAAGTTAAACAAAATTTAAAACAAGAACTAAAAATTGTTTTAATTTAAAAATTTCTTTTGAAATTCCAAGAATATGTAAGAATGAAAAACGGTTAAAGATACATATAATATAAGAGGGAGAAGGAAGCCAAGGCATGCAGCTTTTTGGAAAAGATACATCAAAATTGTTTCTCTCTTTCATAAAATGAAGGTGTACAATTTTTCTAAAAAAAAGAAAAAAAAATATAAAATCCAAATGTGGTTGGCTCAAGTTTAAGCTATACAAATTACCAATATTCGCACTAAATCTTGAAAAACCTGGAAAGAAGGGTAAGAAGAATATACATGGTTATTAATCGAAATGCAATTAATTAGCATGCGATATTTGGTCATTTGAAGGTTGATTTGTTTAATGTAGTGTTGATTCCATGTGTTTGGAGGTTGATTTGTTTAATGATGTAGTGAAAGATGTGCAAACTGGAGTTGGAACCATTGATGGTGTAATTAGAAGGCCTTTAATTAGATTTAGACAGATTTTGTTTTGAAGTTGAGAGAAGTGGACAAAGTACGGAATTCCCTTTCTAAAGGGGAACATCTCTTGAAGATTACAACTGTAAACCACCAATTTTTTTTAAAGACAAACGTCCCCGGGAAACCAAAAAGGACATTCATTCTATAATTTTTTCTCTGTTATATCATTTCATCACACATATGTGCGTATATAAATATTAATTATAAGGATTTGATACATGGCATGGATTTGACTCTGATATGGAAATAAAGTATATATTATGAAAAGATGTTATAAAAATTGAACGAATGTAGTTGTAAGGATAAGATAGTGTAGGGATATAGGTGTGTGGTTTGTTTGTTGTCAAAGGAAGCATAAGGAGAGAAGGGAATGAATGATAAGTGGGAGTCCCAATAGCAATAGCGATAGCAATGCCAATGTCAATAATGTTTTTAACTCTGGCATTCTCGAGCCCTGTGTTTGTTCCCGCGATTCACTACCTCTCCTCTGCAACCAACTTTAAGCAAATACCATCTACACTACCATTATTATACTATTATACTACTACAACTATACCCACATCGCAAGCAAACAATGGATTCCACTAATCCCGAAGTTACCTAACTCTGTTGTCGGTAAGCAATTAAGTGAATTGCATTGGATTCCAGGAAAGAAAACGGAGGAGGGAGAGAATGGAGCATTGCATTGCATTGCATGGCATGGCATGGAGTGAGTTCCATTTGTGGCAACCTCTCATGCATATATCCAAAGAAAAGAAAGCGGCTAGGTTTGTGTATATGCACAGAGATATGTCTGGTAGTTTTCTCCCTTCACTGGGGTAATCCAAACCAAGGAATGAATGGTTCTGTTTCTGTTACACTTCCCTTCCCCCAATTCTTTTCCCGAGAGAGAAAGGGTTCCTGTGCCACACTGTCAGACCTCATTTTTAAATTTTAAATTCTTTTTCCTTACCAAACACATCATCACATTAAATGAAAAATAAAATATAATTCGATCTCATATTTTTATATATGTTTGTACCGGGGAGTTGAGAGAGGATAGAGTCTCCAAAAGTGTATGTGAGGAAGGCATAAGTCCCATCAAGTTGAATGGTGTGAGAAGAAAGAAAAAGAAACAAAAATGAGCACATTCCTCCAAATTCGATTGTGCTCCGGAGCAGAGTGCCCATTTTTGGGTGCCTGAGATTCTGCCAATTCTTGTTCTTTGATTAAACCCCACTCCGACAACTAATCCAAAGCCTGCTCATCACATGCACTCTGCCTCTCGGTCCCACCTCCTTCACTCCCCTCCTCTCTTCTCTCTATTAACACTAATCCATTTTTACCATTTTCATACATAATAAACTCTTTCACTTCTTTACCATTATCCTTCTCAATTAATCTTCACAACTATTTTTAATCTTATTTCTTACTTGTTTCCTTTTTTAAGAACATTTTCACTCTTCTACGTACCTTATCCCTCAGGTTTCTTTAGTTTCTCACGTAACATCTCCACTACTAATCATGTTACTTAATTGCTTTCTACTTAACTAACCCTTTATCAGGTATAACTGGTGGTTAAGCTAGCGCGCAAAAAGTTACTATTTTTTGTTTCTTCTATGTAACAGGTATCTTGCATGAGAAGCTTTACTACGCCAATTCGTTTCACTACACAATAAAAAGAATTTGTTCAAATATGTCAAATTTTAATAAATGCAAATACAATTGTCATCTCTACGTCCTATTTTGAGACTTGAAAATAATTTTCAAGAACCGAACATTAAACTGAATACTGTATTACAGCTTTCGATACAGTATAATGTTATCTGTCCGACCCTGCCATTTTCTGTGTCTGTTAAAAGCTAGGATTGCACTATACATAACGAAACGTTAAAGCAATGATATATACATAAAAAAAAAAAAAAAATCACAATAACCATTTGCTTTTATCTTTTTCTCTCTAACCTTTTTTCCCCGTATATGAGGGTTGAATTAGGTCCTGTGATCTCTCATCAGTCTGTGAATTTGCACATGTCTGAGCATGTAACATTTCCAGAATTGCTTACAGTTCACCAGTGCCATGTCTCTGAGTCCTGCTCCGATTGCATATGAGGTTAGTGTCCTTCTTATGGAAATTCACCTTGTGTAATTAATACAACTATTATTGAGATTCAAACATTACAATATTTTAACTAACTCGGTGATCGGTTAGGTCTAGTAATACATGCATGATTTTCTTTAATTTAAGTCTTAAATTGTTTTGTAGGTAATTTTTAGGGATTAGTCCTATTTACAATAAAACAAGTTTAATTATATATGATTTTGAATTAAACCAAATTGAGGAAAATGGGCATATGTTGGGTACAACTTGCAATAAGTAACATTAAAATTTGTGGTAATATGTCTTTTGATTCAATTCCAAGTTACAGAAGTTAAATGTATAGTTTGAATAACCAGACGTAGGACCACGGAATAGTAATTCACCTAAATATGTGACTCATTTGATTTACTTAATTACTTTTTTGAGACTGGTCCTTGTGTAGGGTGGGGTTAAGGAGCACCACTCATCTTTCCTGGATCTATTTATTGAGAAGAGTGGAACATGTACCAGATTTCCATCAAACAAATTGCTATAAATACTTTGGTTATATATAAAAATAAAATAAGGTATATTTAAATTTCAAACCGAAAATGCATTCGTAAAAGCTTTTACGTTTGTATACTTCAAACCAAGCAGTGGATTCGAAAAGCATAACATAATTGGATATATATGCACAATGGTGAATCGAGCAATCTTAATCAAAATGTATAACCAAAAGAGAGAGTTCATATTTTCATTTGTTTAGGGAAAATTCCTATTCAAAATATGAGCGAGCCATAAAAGTAGATCTAGACACATGTATGGGTAGAAATTTAACTTTAGTTTGTCACATTGCATATAAAACCTAATGAATGATTGAATGAATGAATGGAATATCTTTCTTGGGTAGGCAGAAGTGGCAAGTTCTTGTTCTGTATATATTGAAAGGTGACTAGTCAAAGGATGCCATGTGTGCTTCAGAAAATTTCCTTGACTGTAGGGTTCCTGTATGATGTTAATTAGAACCAAGCTTTGCCATCATCTGTGTGCTTTACAAACCAGAAAGTGGCCCTTTTTGCTGACTTCACTTATCTAGGTATGGACCAAATCCAAATACCTACAGCAACAGATACCACTTGACTTTGCCTCTATAGTTCCAATAATGGAATGAAAGATAATTCTTTCCATTCAGAGGAACTAATACCAATAAGTAGTTAATAACACAAACTAATGAAGAAAGAAAACTTTGTGAAAACCGTATGCACTAGAGAATCTTACAGGTAGTTCAAGTAACTTTCATTCACGACCAATTATCAGTACCTTGTATTGAAAGCTTACCTAAAATTCCACAACTTTTATGGCTGGTTTTGAAAACTTGCAATTACAACATATGCATGACCGGTTGTCATCATAAAACGTCATAATTGGATACTGGTATGGTGGGTTAGTCATTTGTCAATGCCCCCATTATAAATCAAGCTTAAAGGCCTCTGTTGGGATCATTGACTTGCCAAAGTTTGTGCCAACTTAACTAAAACACAACCAACTAGTTGCTGCCTTGTCACTAATTATGCTTTAATAAACATATTTTGTCCTCATTAAGCTCTACTGATAAAGTAAAGGTTATTCATAACGAATACTCAAGGATATTCGTTAGCAAAATATGGTAAAAAGTATTTTTTTAAGTAAAAATTATCTATCAAATTAATTTAGAAATTGTTTAGAATTGTTTTTTTTTAATGAAAAATTAACATTTAAGAATATATATCCAGAATAAAAATAATGATTTAATAATCTTCTTAAGTGGGTACTCGTTATATACTACTATTTAATGAAATCCTGTTGAATATTGCATGGCTAATTACGTGGATGTGTGGGTAAAAAACGGGAAGAAGGGGAAGTCACCCTTAATATCCATAACTCTTTTTATTTTGAAACCTGCTGCGCTATGATAATCTTTCAGAGGAGTGCCCCAAAAAGTTATTATCTGAACTTCAACTGCAATATAACCTAGAAAATCTTCAACAGCATTTGAATCTTTGCCCCCCCCACCCGACACACACAAAGAAAAGGGCCAACAAATTAATGCATGCCTGTGACCATGGTTCCCGAAAACACTTTATAACGAATTTATAACTTTAGGACACCAGCTACAGACTATAAATACAGATATACATAAATTAGTCAAAAACATTTTATATATCGACATTAATATACAGTACAAATGATGTGTAATGAATATATATCTGTGCATGCCTATATACACTCTGATATAGTGTTGTCCTGCTACTATTGTCATCCACATTCATTCCATAATGTAAATTAATTTTTCTCACCAAAAGACGTGTAGGTCATGCACGAGGTACAATAATGTGCCAGTTAGTTTGGATCATTCTGTGAAGTACAACAATAATGCACCAATTAAATGAGTGAGGGTAAGTAAGATCGATGTAGGGGAGGGGCATGAACTAGCTCTTGAAGTGTAAGAAAGATGAATATATAAATATAAAATAAACAACAGAATAGAAGTTAGAATAAAAGTAGTGACAATATCTGGGCCCAATGTTTGTTGTTAAGATTAGAACTGAAATCAGACCAAACCCATAAAAAAAGGGGTTTCCAAAAAGAACATATATGTGACCTATGGCTGTGTTGTGTCCCATACGTATCAGTCCTAGTGTTCTGCCCCACGACTTGCAGAAACCATGGTCAGACAGTGTGTGTAAAGAAGAATACACTAATTGAATCATTTCGTCTTTTGATCAAGTTTCTGATCTATATTCAGTAAGTATATATTAAATAACTGCGCATAGGAACAATACAGATGCTTGATTTATTTAAGTAGGTATGTATACATTTTAATAGTAACATGTCCATATCCCATGCACTAAGGGGTGAGAATCTTTCTAGGTCATCAAATTGATTGTTATCGTTTTCAAAAGCATATCGTATCATATTTTATGATCAAATGTGTTAATGATTTTCTTCATCTTAATGTAGGGTCTCTGTTATCTAGAATCAGCAGCATGCATGTCGCCACACGAGCTTGTCCCCAGCAAATAAATTCCAAACCCTCCAATCATGAAGTTGATTACGTTGCTCACACAAACATTTTTTCTTTTAATAAAAGGCTCGATTTAATTAACATACGAAAAATTAAGAAGTTAAGATCATTACGTTGGAAACGAGGATACGCATTATATTTTATTTATTATGAGTAGGTTTGGAATTTCCATGAATTTGAAACTGCCTCGATTGGACAGGCAGCTCATTAGTACCATCCATATATACTATGGTCTGAATGAATGGTGAAAGTGATGCACCGCCCAAAATAGTAAGATGGCAACATCAACTTTTGCATGAACCACCTTACCTTCTTTTCATTATTTTATTTTTCTGCTACTTCGTCAATGCCAATTTGAATTTCTTTGTCTCTATCAATGATACTTGCTTGTTCTCAACTAGACACTTTCAAAATTTTATATGCATATTTTACTCTGAATATTCCAAACTTTAATTGTCCCTAAACCCTAAACCTACACTTCGGATGAGTACATAGTTGTACATGTTCAGATATAGAACAATGTTAAGCTATATATATATATACACACATACACACACACTAATTGTTTGTTTGGACTGGGATCAAGAGTCTGAATAGGGAAAAAGAGACCAGCCCCAGAAAACCTAATAATAAGTTGATAACTGATATATGATGAAATTAGCTATGTGTTTCTATTATTAGTTATCATTTTCTCTTTTCAATCTTTAACCTAAAGTAAATGGGGATTCAAACACATTTTAAACAAATGCTATCTGTCCAAGATGAAGATATATTTATATCTTCAGTTTGTGCTGCAAGTGAATACATTATTTCGCAGTAACCTTTCAGTTTGAGTGACGAGTAATGTCCCCAGACCATGTCTTATGTAGGTCTCCCTTGATTGACATTAGGTCACCAGTGCCTATTAATTAATTATTATTTGGTAGACAAAAAACAAAGAGAAAGCAAAGATGTTAGAGGAGAATCTAATCAACTTTTTCATTGGATCAAGCTAGGTTGGAAACCAATGCACCAAAGACCATTTATTAGATATGGCTGTGTCACAAATTCACAGCACCACAGTGAATAATCTCCATTGGATGTGGGCCATAAGACAGGAACCATTCTTTTCATTAATCATTCTTTTCATTAATCATAGGAAATGACCCATGAAATGAACAGTGACCTCACCCCCAAAGCCTTTATATTCCACCCATTGAAATGAAAGTTCAACTCTTTTAATTTAAACTTTAATAATAAAAAACTCTTCTCATTTAAAACAAAAAAGCAGACTAAAATAAGGAAATATAAAATTGAAATGAAAAGTTTCACGGCATGTTTAATAATAACAAAATTTTTATTACAGAATTTTCACTTTTTTGTGTTAACTATTAATTCTTTTAAATATAAATACAAAAAAAAACAGAAAAATGTTACTTCTCTATTTCATGTATAAATATTAAAAAAATATAGAATAAGGTGAAATGTTATTTGCAATATATTTGAGCAATTTTTGTTGATATGGCTGAATATATAAATATCACAAAAGAAATATTAACACCAGTAGGAACTGTAAACACAATGTAGTAGATAAGCTCTTGCAAATAATGTTGGGGTTTCTCGTTTTATAAGTGTTTCTATTTTTTTTAAATATATTAATGTTTGGTTTTAAACTCAAATAAAGTTTGTTTTCTTTATATTTATTATTTTTAAGAATGATTCACAATTTTCTCCGATAGTATAAAAATTTGAATTGTCTATTTTAAATGGTAAAAAGTTTAGTATTCTTTAAATGAATGTTTAAGTATGTGTATGGTTAATAATTTTTTTTGACAGATGATTACCTCTTTAAGTAATTCTATTCACTCCAGTTTAAATATATCAGAGTTAAGAAAAATATTAATATTACTACCAAATTTCAGATAAAAAACAAATTCTTGAGAATCTATCTTATCGTAAATTGAAACACCACTGTTTAACAAATCTATAATAAAGACAAAATCAAAAGTATCAGCAACAAAATAAAGTTATAACAAAACAAATTTCCACCATAGAATGTTTTTATTAAACCAAGTACTTTTATATATAAGATGTAAAAATCATTCAATTTATCAAATTCCTCCAAAAACTGGGTTTAATTTATCGATTTTATTAATTACTTTTTCAAGATTTAGATATTTCAAATTATATATATTAAAAAAATACACTTTTGTAAAATTTTAAGAAACTAGTAACAATTTTACAAAATCGTGAAAAGTAATACTTTTTCCCCCTTCAAGAACACTAGCATTTTAGTATGTTCGTTGTATATGATAACTATTTATTTTGTATGATTAAAGTTTATGATTAATACATATTTTAAAAATATAAATAATGTTATAGATAAATTTTATCATAGATTATTTGAATATACAAATGATATTATAAATATCCCATAAACAATTTAATTGTGATATGTAGTTTGTTTTATATGGATCATAGCATCCATCATTAGTGGTAATTTGATTTGAGTTTGATAGGAGCATTTATGAGTAGCAAAACTTTTTGGTATTCAATTATACGTTATTTGAGAGAGGGGAAAAAGTGAGGGTTTCACTCTTCAAGTTGTTGTTGTTATAATCCACATAACAAGTATTTTAGTGTCTAACATTACATAAAAAAGGTTTATTTATAATAAACATATTTAGATTTACTTTGAACGATTTGAATTATGATATAAATACATGGAGGAGTAGTTTTTCTCATGCGATACCGACCAATATTATATTCAAAATATATACAATATTGGTTAAGAAATATTAAATGTACTTTATTAGATAGTTCTAATTAAAGGCGTGTTCTTAAAATGATTTTAATATTTTAAATATACACTCTTTAATAAATAATAATGAAATATAAACGCATTAAATGCTTTTAAATATATAAAAAAAAATCAACACTCTCTACATTAATTTATTGGAAAATTAAAAATAAATTTTAGTAAGATGATATTGAATTATAAAAAAATATTTATAAATTTGTCTGCTAATATTTTTTTTCCTAAAAAAGTGAAATCTATTCAGTAGTTTTAAGATGTTAAATATATTTATTTCTATTTAAATTTTCATACAAATTAATAAAAATATTGTACAAAAAGATGACCTTATTCTCCAAAATACGGTCCCATTAAATAGAGGAGGAAAGAAGGTAACGCATGTGAGACTGCACCATCCAGTACATCATATCCATCCTGGGCTAATTAATGATTCCATCATTTCTGACATTATAATTCAATGTATCGTGTTTACATCAGTATAATGTTTTTTTTTTTTTTAACATTGTTTTTCAATAAAATTATCATAGATCTATTTTTGTACTATAACAAATAGTTTTGCATTAATTATTTATATAAAATAAACTTAGAAAAAGTCAATTTTTATGATTTTTTTTACATTATTAATTAAATAATCTTAGGTAAATTTAAAATAATTATGATGAAATTTTGATAAAAGCTTACCATATAGATTAACATGTGATTGGATTGTAGTGCATTTTGATTAAATTTAATAAAAATACAATTAATGTGATCATTTGTCTTTGATGACTTTCTCTTTCTCATATTATAAATGTATAGTAAAAATAGTATTGAAAAGAAATTAGATGTAGTTGAAAAGAATGATAGTGTGGTTTGTATTCATTATTGAAGGACACGCCAAAAGTTAGATTAAGAAAGATCACTTGGTTGCCATTTTGTTTTGAGAATTGAGTGTGATAGCTAAGACTCCTAATTAATCATATTATATATTGTCTGCAACATATTTTACCATTTTTGTCTATTTTTGTGCACATCCTTATGTCCTTACTTCACTAATCCAGATTCAGTTTGTCCATTGCGTCAAAATTTTGTTTAGTATCTGACTAATGCTTTTTCCTTGTTAGTAACCACATGTACAATCCCTTTTCAAAAGACCAACAACACCCAATGCATTTTACAATTTTGTCACACCTCATTTCATCAACTTCTACTAAGAATAATAAAAAAAATCGCTGTCAATTTTCATGTTTTTCTTAGCATTTCTCTAAGTGGAAGATATGTTACGTAATGTTAAAGGATTGAGGAGGGAGTCAAAGGGAATTATTTCTTGACATTGCCTACCATTGTGAATATTTTCTTTTGGGCCTAAAAAAATTGTCTAGATTCAGTCCAAATGTATTTTGGTGATGTGGGTTAGGTGAAACTATTTTGGTTAGACTCTTGCTTCCTGCACCTTCGTAACTTTTTTCCTGCAATTCCATATTCTAAGTCAAATATTTAAAATATTCTTTCTATAATTTTAATTTTTTTACTCTAACTTCTTCTTCTACTTGTATACAACTTTAGCACCTCATCCCCTCTATTCTTTGTCTATTTGATTTCTAATAATACATGTACCCGCACTCAAATTATATAAACAAATCTAAATTATTCAATATGAAACAATATGGTAAAAATGAAGTTGAATTCTGAAATACTCAATGTGGAATGTCTTTTTGAATTGAGTGTTCCGAAAAGATAAATCTAAAATGCATTTCAAATTTCAAAGATGAAGATAAAGATAAGTGTAAGGATAAAATAAAGGTTAATTTAATTATAGGGCGTAGGAAAAAATTATGGGGTGTAAGAAATAAGAGCCCTTTGGTTATATTATTTGGATCCATTAAGATGTAATAGAAACTAGTTTCGGGTCACCCTATATATTGAGAGTGTATTTCTTTCACCACCCCTTTTTATAGCTACACCTTTCCATATTTTGTCAAAATTTTCAAGAATAATCCATATCCTTTTGTAATTTAATTTTCAAAAGTGTAAAACCAAACAAATGTAGAAGGATGTTATTGGAAGAATTTTTAAAATAATATATATATATATATATATATATATATTGTGACAAATATTTTATTATTAAATTTATTAATTTTTTTAAATATATATATATATATATATATTTGAATTATTGTCAAATTATTTTATTATTAAATTTATTAAAAATTTTGATTTAAAAAAATAAATTATTATTTTTTAAATCATGGCATACCAGCACGCTGGTGCGGGACTTTTCCATGCCTATCCTTATATATAGATTCTGCAACCCGGTTCAAGTCACATTTTATGGCTCTAAAGAGGAATAATAGATAAACTATTGAGTGAACATCATTTCCATAATTCTTCTTATTTGTTTTTGTGAATAATAATATAAGAAACCTTTATGTTTAAATTTTTTAATAATCTTTACTTTTCTCTTGCTAAGTATTATTGGAGGTTGTTAATCTTAAAACATTTGCCGTGATTATGTTCCAAGTGTGTGCGCGATTTGTATGTGAAGCATAGTTTAATGACATAGCAACAAAGTTAGTTGTCTCAACAACTTCCCTACTCCGACTCTCTTGGATCATTCATACTTTCCAACATACCACAATTCATTCCTTCCTTAATCTTCCTCCACAAACATCACACAAACCTCGCAACAAACAACTCTCTCTAATCTCTTCCAATTTCACTCTCATAACTATCTTCATCAACAAATCCAACACAACACACACCAATGGCCCAGACTTCCAAGTCACGAAATGCCAGAAGATCATCATCATCAACTTCTTACTCATCAACCTTAACAACACTCATTTTCACCGCACTTTGTGTTTTGGGAATATGGATGCTCACCTCCAACTCCGTCGTCACACCTAAAACACGCACAGCCATTGATGATAACAACTCTGAAACCACTAACGCTGACCTCGCTGAAGACACACCCGAAACCACCACCACCACCACAACAAACATCATCCAAGATGATCCTATTGAAACCGCCACGAATATCGCAGAAGAGTTGTTGTCACGTGAAACGACCACACATATCTCAGAAGAGCCACATGAAACGACCACAAATATCTCAGACGAGCCACATGAAACGACCACAGATATCACAGAAGAGCCAGGTGAAACGACCACGAATATCTCAGAAGAGTCAACTGAATCTGTCTCCCAAAGCCATGACCAAAAGGACACTACTGTATATGGAGACAACCCTGGAAACCTCCCCGACGATGCCATTACAAATGAGGGTGAAAACACCGTTAATAGAGAAGTTTCCATGGCAAACGAAGCTGCTGCAGCTTTGGACAATGATCAGAAAACTGATAAGAGTGAGAATGACGCTCACATTCTTCAAGTATCTGAAGGGGACCAAAAGGGTGAAGAAGAGAACAACAACATGGCACAAGATGAAAAAGAAAACCCAAATGCAAAGCAAAATGCAGAACCTGAGAATGTGCATACGAGTGAAAATCAAGAAGAGAGCACGAGTGGCGAGCCAAGTTTTGATGTGCAAGGAGGTAAGAACAATGACGATGAAGCGAATGTGCAACAACTAAGGGAAGACAAAGGTGAGGTCATGGAGAAAGAACAAAAAGAAAGGTTGCAAGACGAGGGTGGAGAAAAGGAGAAGGATAGTAATTTGAGGAAGGGGAGCAAAGTGTTGAAGAAGGAGTGGCCAACACAAGCGGGTGAGTCTCAGGTAGAGAAGAAGAGACAGAAGGAGGAATTTGATGGTGGTAGTGAGGAAGTGCAGTTGCAAGATTTGAATTGGAGGATGTGCAATGCTACAACTGGTGCTGATTATATTCCTTGTTTGGATAATGAGAAGTATTTGAAAACTTCGCATAGAAAACACTTCGAACACAGAGAGAGGCACTGCCCTGAGGATGCACCAACTTGCCTGGTAGCACTTCCCAATGGTTACAAAACAACAATCAAATGGCCTGCCAGCAGAGATAAGGTAATATATTTGAAAGGAGTAGTAATCAATACAGTGAAAAGTGTGGTTAAGATCTAATTTATTCAACACTTAAAAAACATGAAATAATAGGTAAGATGATATAATAGATTTTACAACGAGTGTATGATACTAATAAAAATTGATTCCATGTTTTCATATCTCAAAACCTCCTAGTTACTTTTATGAGGTTCATTTTTTTTATAACATCTACATTTATTAATGTTTTATCAAAATAGATAATTAATTAGTAATTTGTATATTATATAATTTTCTCTGAAGGCATGCTTTATACAAATAGTGTTAGGTAAAACTAAGTATATTTATTAAATTTAATAGAAATTGTGTCGGTGTGCATTGTGCATTCTGTTAGGTAAATGATGAGTTTCTCAAAATTTAAGTTTTAGTTATCTTGGCTTTCAACAGATATGGTTCCACAACATACCACACACTCTGTTAGCAGACGTGAAGGGACACCAAAACTGGGTGAAGTTGAAGGGTGAATTCTTGACCTTCCCAGGAGGGGGCACCCAGTTCATTCATGGTGCTCTGCACTACATTGATTTTCTTCAACAGGTATGTTTGTCAGTACATATATATAAACTCGTAGAGTATTTATGAACTTGACAAAAATATATTCTAAAATAATAGTTTACCATATCTAAGTGCGATATTATTCCTAGAATTGAACTTTATACTCTTAAAGAGTTCATAGTTTCTTGCTGATATATAACTGGATTATACAATTTGAACGTGACTGTTGAAAGAGAGCATAGGAATCCATTATTTTTAAACATTTACATAAATATCTACTTTTTTCTTTGTATCTTTTTATCACAACCTCCTCACAAGTATAAAATTTATATTATTTTCTCTCTAGTGTCATTTATTATTATAGATGACTATTTTTCTTATTGAGAATAAATTTTAATTGTAACACAGGCTGAACCGAGTATTGCATGGGGAACGCACACTAGAGTGATTTTAGACGTTGGGTGTGGGGTAGGAAGCTTGGGAGGTTTTCTATTTGAAAGGGATGTTATTGCCATGTCTTTTGCACCAAAAGATGAGCATGAAGCACAAGTGCAGTTTGCCCTTGAGAGAGGGATACCAGCAATGTCTGCCGTCATGGGTACTCAAAGGTTGCAATTCCCCAGCGACGTCTTTGATCTTATTCATTGTGCACGTTGTCGAGTACCTTGGCATGAAGATGGTTGTTAATTTTACACACTTTTCCTTTGAATTTGTATGTCATCTTGTGTTCATGGTTGTTGAAGAGGAATGTGAATCTATTGTAGGTGGCCTGTTGCTTTTGGAATTGAATCGTCTTCTTAGACCAGGGGGTTATTTTGTGTGGTGTGCTACACCTGTGTATCAAACCATCGAAGAAGATGCTGAAATATGGAAGCGTATGATACATATATTGTTATTAAAAAGGAATAAACTATGCATTTTCGTAGGCTCTGACATTTTGTTGTTTTCCTCTAGAAATGACTGCATTAACCAAGTCCATGTGCTGGGAACTCGTAACCATAAAAAAGGATAAACTGAATCAAGTTGGTGCAGCCTTCTACCGCAAACCCATTTCCAACGAATGTTACGAGAAAAGGGAGCAAAACCAACCTCCCATGTGCAAACATGACGATGATCCAAATGCTGCATGGTAAATCTCTTGATTCTTTTGTATTTCCAACTTTTCTCGTAATTTCTAGGAACCACTCTTTTACTTCTGCGACTACTATACTTGAACTAGAGGACTTATTCAGACAAAAGCTGTTTTCTTAACATATGTGAAATGTAAAATAAAGTACATTATTGTGTTTGTTCCTTAATTTTGATTGACCAAATATATATATATATATATATATATACACCTGGTTAATAAAACTGGAGAGAAAAGAGAGTAAGCATACATGCAATAAGTAATATGTATGATGTGAGAAAAGAAAGAGAAAGAAAAACGAAAAGTGGTAACGAAGTGTTTAATGTGTGACAAGAGTGAATATATCATTACTGATCTATATTATATTGCAGGTATGTTCCTCTACAGGCGTGCATACACAAGTTGCCTGTTAACAATGAGAGAGGGACTAAATGGCCTGAACCTTGGCCTAAGAGACTCCACAAAGTTCCACACTGGTTAGACACCTTGCAGGTTGGAAAACGAGGTTCTCAAGAGTTTGAAGCAGATAATGAGCGTTGGAAAAACGTTGTAGATGAGCTTAGCAACATCGGGGTGTCTTGGTCTAACGTCAGAAATATCATGGACATGCGAGCTAATAGTGGAGGGTAGGTATATATATATCACATAATTTTAATTTGTATGCCACTCTTTTGGTCTTAATAAATCTATCATGCATTCCTGCTAATACAATAGTATAACAATTGATTATAAGGGTATAGTGATCAAAGTTACTCAATTGTGAATGCAGATTTGCAGCAGCTCTGAAGGATCTTCCTGTTTGGGTATTTAATGTGGTAAACATAGATGCTCTTGACACACTTCCTCTCATCTATGAAAGGGGTCTTATTGGTATATACCATGATTGGTGTGAATCCTTCAGTACCTATCCACGAACTTACGATCTACTGCATGCAGATCATCTTTTCTCAAATCTAAAGAAAAGGTAAAAATGGAAGCAATGATTTTTCATTTTAATTTTTTGGCATAGTCAGTATAAAGACAACAACAACAGTCTTATCATGCACAATAGTTTGTGATTGAAGGAGTATAAAAATGATTTATTGTATCACTGCATTTAAATATGATCTTTGGCAGGTGCAATCTTGTTCCTGTCATAGCAGAGGTTGACAGAATACTAAGACCAGGAGGTAACTTGATTGTCCGTGATGAACCTAGTGTGATTGGTGAAGTGGAGAATTTGTTGAAATCTCTCCATTGGGAAATAACCTCCACAAACCAAGAAGGGATACTTAACGGCAAGAAAGGGATGTGGCGACCTTCCTCTTAAAGTAGATTTGCGTCTTGATCAAGGAGACAACATTGGTTATTCAGCTTAAGATTGTGTTTTCAAACAAGCTATATATGCATTGGTAGTGACATGGGGTTAAAAGTTGCACCATTTTGGTGATGCATAATATTCAAGTACTACGTACCCCACAAAATGAAATGTTGTAATACAGGCACCAACAGAAAGAGATTTGTAGTTGTCAATATTAAAAGTCACCATGGCACTGTCTTGTTATTCTATTCAACGTTTGCGTTCAGAAGAAGCAATTTCAGCTTAATAGAAGTGGGTTTTAGACAACACTCAATTATTAGTTTTTCTTCTTGACTTTATTCCGAATATAGTAATGTCAAATTTAAAATCCCTATCCACCTAACCATACACTCAATGGAGCTTTATGATGCTGGTATTGTTAATTAGTATAAAATAATGCAGAAAGAAGATGAATGAATACAGTTACCTTTTTTTGTTTCATCTACAAATTAACTCTCTTTTAATTTAATAAATAATTTCCTTTAACTTTTAATTTAGAAAATCTTTATTAAGTTTTTAATTTACTAATTAAAATCTCTCTCGTCTGGATATTTTTATTTGCTATGTGGCGAGATCTTGTTTATGAAATGGTTACAATTGAAGATACATTTATTATTAAATTGATTATATTAATAATGTTAGAAATGGTTAAAACTTTTAATCTTACAATATATTTAAGAGTTTCAATATATATATTTAATAAGAGTGAAAAGAAAAAATAGGATGTTATCTGACTAGTTAAAAAAATCATTTATTTTAATTACTCAAGTTAGTAGTGCGTTTAAAATATAATCCAACTATCGATATGTGATTTTATCTTTAATTTTTTTGTGTTTTGATTGCTTTTTTTTTACATGTCTTATGGAGGTGCAACCACTATCATAACGAAAATTAATTTGTATGTACATTACTTCTTTTTTTTTCCAAATTTTGGCATTCTAATGTACAAACATATATATATATATATATATATATATATATATATATATATATATATATATATATATATATATTATACTTTACGTTCTGCTTTGTGTTAGTATTAATTTCTCTAATTTTTTTAAGATTTTTATTATCTTTGGACTCCCTCATTTTTAACCCAGTGATTTTCTTCCTTGTAAAATTTTCTTACCCACTCTCGATATTTTTTATTTTCTTCATCTCTTGATTAGTGCACTAAACAATAATTTTGATTGTAATATAAAAATGTTATAAATAAACATTTAAATATTTAAAACATTATTTTTATAAAATCATTTTTCTAAAACTTTTTTTTTACTTTTTTCTAGGTTTCTCACTCTTTTCATTTTTTTTTTCTAGATCAGGTTTTCATGTTGAATGAAATATTTCTAACCTATTAGAATTTTTGATAGACTAAGTTTTTCTTTATCCATTTTTAAAGTATTTATATATAAATTTGAGAGCTTTACATATGAGGTTCAAAATGAATGCACGTGAATTTTATTCGACAAATATGATTATTAACTAATTTAGGAATATTGTGATATACGTTAGTTGAACTTTTTTGTAAAAAAGATTTGATTTCTTGTAAATTTGGAAGTTTTTGAAGTTTTTTTTAATAAAAAAAATTGAAAGGTAAGAAAAACTAGTTATTATTTAGTTGTAATAGATTTAAATGTAAATGTGACTTGGTCATTTAGGGGTGTCAAAGTGAGTTAACCCGGCTCACACGGGTTGGCTCACCACGGGTTGAGCTGAAAATAAGTGAGTTCAACCCGACTCACTTTTTGGCGAGCCAAAAATTTTACAATCCGGCTCAACTCACAACGGGTTGGTGGGTTAGGTGTGTTGACTCACTAACCCATATTTTTTTAATTTTTTAAATTATATAAAAACTTCGGATGTAGAAACTTATATTTTCTTCCTTTCTTTCTCAATATCAGTATCTTCATTATTAACTGAAATTGACTCATTGAGTTTTTCATTAATAATAAAATCATCACCAATACAATTTACATTGACACTTTGATGTATTGTTTCAGATTTCATACTCGTAAATTAATTTAAAAGAAAGAAATCAAAAATTCATATATTAAAGAGATATATGTATAAATCAATAACAAATAACAAATAATGTATATATGCTACAATTTTCAAATAAAGATTCATCAATCCAATAGCTTAGGTTATGAAACAAATTCTTACATTTGAAAGCAATACAGTGGACATGGTGTAGTGGTGCGGTGGACAAATAATAAGACAAGTGACCCAAGTGCAACAACAAACGTAGTGGTGCAACGAACAAGTGATAACAAGTTTAAGTGAGGGTTTGACTTGTGGTGACAACCAACAATGTAGGGTAGAGGTAGGACAGGATAACATCAATTAGGGTTACTAAAATGTTATAATTATTTTTAAAATTTAAAATAAATGATTAATTAGGGTTAATATATTATTATAATTATTTTTAAAATTTAAAATTAATGGTGGGTTGCAGGCCAACCCACCATAACCCGGCTCGAACCCGTTTAACCCGTGGGTTAAGTGAGCCGAGTTCATTTTTAGCCCATAATCGGTAGAAATAAAAAAAAATCAAACCTAACCCGGCTCAAACCCGTGGTGAGCTGGGTTGGCTCACGGGTTAGAATCCATATTGACACCCCTAGTCATACTATTTGAATTTCAGGAATTAGATTGTGATTGTATGTATTAATCGTGTGTTGATTGTAATTGAGTTTAAATATGAGTTGATTTAAAATAATGATGTGAGAAATAATATTATTGGAATGTTAGAGAATAATAATTATATTTGGGCTAGGTATAACATGACTTGGAAGAAAATGATGGAATAATATCTAAAAGGATTGTGTTTGGTGCCTAAAAATTGGTTTAATATGTGTTTTGTAAGTTTGATATCTACATATTTTACTAAAATTATAAGTTGTCACTCGAGAGAAATGTACGACAAAAGGTAAAAGCTTCTTTCGAAAGTATTTTTGGTCAAGTAAAAATGATTTTCAAAGATGAAAGACTTGTTTTAGCCTTATTTTCGTTTAAACAAAAATATCTCATTCAAGAGAAAAAATTTCAAAGGAGTAAAACTTGTTTTAGTTATAGCTTCGCTTAATAAAAAGTATTGTTCGCTCAAGCAAAATAACTCCTTACTCTAGTGAAATTGGTTAAGAGAGGAATTGATGAAGTTTTGCTCAAGTAAAAATCCCATGTTTTGAAAAAGCTTAAAAATGTAGGAAATTAAAAATGTAAGATAATTTTTTTGATGTATTTGATATGCATGTGACTTAAGATATGGAAATATATGATATGAATATGAAATAAAACGTGTTGAATAATATTATATATATTAAAAAATGTTGTATTGTAATATAAAGAAGTATTTTTATATGCATGATGTAATTTGTAGAATTATTGAATTGGTATTAAAGAGATATCATAATTTTATTAATCGTTGAAATTATATAGATGAAAGGATTGAAGAGAGTTAAATGAGATTTCTAATGACCTTAACGGATCTTGACCATTGATATCGAATGAGACTAAATAATATGTTATTAATAAATAATAAATAAATATAAAAAGGTAAAAAAATATGAAAAGGTAAAATGTCAAATTTATAAATATACAAATATATATTTAATACTCATTAAATTTTGAAAGTTAAAAATCATAATTACTAATTTAAGTTAGGAAGACTAGAATTCCCCTTACTTTCAAATAAGCTCTTGCTAATGACTTAACATACATTATAAAAAAAACTATATTTTTATAAATTATTTAAAAATTTACTCTAATTACATGTAAATAATAATAAAAAATAATATATATATATATATATATATATATATATATATCATATTAAATATACTTGTGTTCAAATAGGTAAGGAATTGTGACGTGACATATGTAAATTTTTGTATTTAATTTAATATATAGTATTTTAAAAGTGGTGTAGAATCTGATAACAAACTTATACAAGTAATATAATGTATTAATATCTACGTCAAGAATTGACTTATGAGAATGTAAAGTCATATATCAATTTTGAAATTAATTTATATAGTACTAATATACGTGAAATATATATAATTGTTTATAAAAAAATTTAATTTGACACTTAAATTACTAATTTATCCTATTTATTTTATGAATTACTTTTAAATGGTAATGATTTTATGTTTATAGGAGAATATAAAGTACATACGGTAAACTTTAATAAAAATAAGTATGAAGTTGATAGAAATTTAAATGGTTTTATTAATTTTTTTATATTTTAAATATATGTATATAATTTTTAATGAGAAGGAAATCTATATATTCTAAAATTTTATTTATATAAATTATATAAATATTTTTAATATTTATTTTGTGGTTGATATAAAATATAATTTTAGGAATAAAGGAACTTCTAGCGCATCTAAAGTTCAATAATAAACCCATTCTTCCTAAAATTTTAAATAATAATATGAGATTTAAATTATCTTCTTAATTTTAGAACTAAATATTGTTTATATGAACTTAAGTGATTTCATCGGAACAAACAATCCTATCAACTTCAAAAGGAAGATGTCATCCATTAATTTATATCATTGCTCTTATAAAATATTTTTTATTTAACTTTAAAACTTTAAGTGAATTTATAATACGAGAAATAAATATAATACATTTGATGATTTTTTTATTTTATTTTTCATTTACATGTTCCAACTTAATGAATTATTGTTGCATTTGATTTCTTTCAGTAGATTGCATATCTTGTATAAGATGTTTCTGGTGTACAAGTCAAAGTTGGACTCTGACCTAAGCCACGACATTTAATAACCTTTTTAAGATGCGTTTCATCTTCTTCGTTCTTTCTTAAGGAGCGTCATCTGCTTCAACCTCCAACTTTCTTTAATTTGATCCTCAAAGGTTATGGAGCACTTAGAGATGGTGAGTGAAGTGAAACACCAAAGAATCAAAGCCAACGGAATATGGATACACGTGGCAGAGAA